AGATCGTCCTTTTAATTACGAGGCACACCCAAAGCCCAAAATGGGGGTTTCCGAAAATACGGGACCCTAATTTTGTACCCGAAATAACTTCTTCGTTGTATGGACCCCAAAATAAACCACCCCTGATTTTCGGAAACTCCCAAAATCACAGAACCGAGACTTCGAAACCCGGAAAACCCTGAACCCTCGAGCCCCCAAAGCCCTAAGACCCTAAGCTTCGAAACCCCAAAGACACGATAGTGTAGGGGCCTAAATAATGACCTATACTATTTTTTGGGTGGTTCCTTATGACAATTATAGAACAACTGGCTAAACCCTATGGGGGGTTCCTTGTTATAACTATAGTAGAATGGGCCACAAAACCCCATTCTAGTTTTTAAGGCCCCTAGACCCGACCCCAAACCCTCATGGTAGCCCTTATAGGACCCTTTAAGGAGCCCTTAAAAGGAACCCCAAAACCCTATTCTAGTTGTTGAGGCCACTTTCTTTAGAGACTCGGGAAAGCCCGAGGCTCCATTTGCAGGGCCGACGACAGTCTGCCTCTGATCGGTTCTGGCAAAGTCCGTCCGGAGCCTCGGTGTACTAATGCAGGGGCCTTATAATGATTAGAATAGGGTTTTGGAGCATATGGCACTATAATTGTTATGAAAAAACCCGCAAAATAGTATAGGTCATTATGTAGTCTTCTATAGAATGTCAGGGCTTTGAGGGGTTTCAAGGGGTTTGGGATGTTAAGGCTTCTTGAGCCTCGTGGATTGCAGGGTTTTGGGGTTGTTTGGTGAAGCTTGCTTTTGGGAATGCAGGGTTTCGCATATTCGACTTTTCGGGAATGTCGAACGGTAGGGAGCTGTGGTGCAACGTTTGCGCCCCTGCGCTGGTTGAAGTGGTGAGCAAGACTTCAGAAGCTATGACCCGTGGCCTTCAAGCCTTTGGTCGGCAAGTCGCAGCAATTTACCCTGCCTTATTCTTCCTCGGGATTTAGGGGAACGACGGTCTTAAATACCTCGGCTGCATTCAGGTACAGCACAGAGCAGCCCTTCAACGAGTCCCTGAAGCATGGCACCTGAAACACCAAACCCTCAACCCTGAACCCTAAGCCGATCACGTCGTGCTGAGGTGCCGGTGGCGTCAGAAGAAGATTCACTTCCACAGGGAGGGCTTCGGCTGGTGCGGCAGCTAGCGAACCTGATGAGATCCAGCTACTCAGAAAGAAGTCGCTGCGACCCCAAAGGCACTGCCTCGCGGCGGGCCGTTTGGGTTCAGGGAATCAGCAACTTGACTTTCAGATCTCTGCGCTCGACATCTTCGCGTGACTAGGGCGCGTTTTCGCCGACTTCCGGGGGCCGCAGATTTAGAGCCCAGAGTCTGTCACAAGGCTCCCTAAGACCTGTGGCTGGGACTGGGGAGAGAAGCCGAGCATCGGTTCCCCACGAGCAGAGCACCCAGGTCGTAGGTGGCAAAGAAGTCCTGCGAACCCCTTTAACAATCTGTCTCTGTAAACTGTAAACCCTATAAGGCCTGACCCAAATTCGCACGACTGCAGGGTTCGCCTGGGGACAGGAACTCTCAACCGGTCCGAGACGGTCAGGACCACGGCATCACCATGTGCCACGATGTGTGCTGGCGGCGTTGCCTCAGTCAGACGCCCAACTCTTCGACCACAGAGACAGAACCTTCAACAACTATAAAGACGATTGATTCAGAAATGCCAACCTCCCTGTAAATCTTAAACCCAAATCCTACTAAGCAAGAGCTCTACCCCGTCATCCCAAACCCTAAACTAAACCCAGATCCCAAACCCTTAGCTGAGGAAGAGGGGCGTTTAGCGCTGCGGGGAGCCACGATGCTGCTGCCGCAGCAGCAGCGGGTGGCACCGCGATTTGAGCGGCCAGCTCAGACTGCGAAACCTACGGAGTTAAGGGCTTTTGGCTTGGGGTGTTGGGGTTTTGCAGTTTGAGATTTGGGTTGGATTCTGAAGGGGTTACCATTTCAGGCGATTAAGCCGCAAAAGCTGGAATCGAGGAGATTGATGAGAAAGCGCTGTAGACAGCTAGCTGAAGACTGCACTAACACCAGTGCAGTTAGCACGGTGTGGTTTCGCTCTGCAATAGAAAGCACCCTTCACGAAGTAACTTGGCTCTAGGCCAATATGTTGGACCGGTCGGAAGCATCATTGCACCGCCGGTGTGTTTCTGCGAATGCATGCGGCTCAGATTTCTTGCATGTAGCTAGTGGTACCATGGTAAGTAGTTGGTTTTTACCATCGCAAGCTGATAATCTGTAAACTTCTTCTGCGGTACCACCGCTGCAGCAACAACCCGGATGATGATGATGATGATGATGATGATGACGATGATGATGATGATGCTAAGGATGGTGATGGTGATGGTGATGGTGATGGTGATGGTGATGGTGACCCTGATCATGATCATGATGATGATGATGATGATGATGATGATGATGATACGGATGCTGAGGATGGTGATGGTGGTGGTGATGATGACGTTGCTTCCACGTTTCACAGCCCAAGCACATAATGGCCATACGACGGTGATGCCGGATCCGACACCGCAGTCGCGAGCGATGCCAATGCGCTCTCGCGCTTGATCCCCGGCGTCCTTGTGGAAGCTGGAGGCTGCACTTCTATGCAAGATGAACTGATGAGAACTAGTAGGGCCGTCATGACTAGCAGGAGTAGCATTGGTACATTACTGCGCACCGCAGTGCGCTTTTCCATGCAATGGGTCCCAAACTGCGTAGTTGATAAATGAAATTTGTGACCACCTGTTGATATTTAGCCTGCACGGTTTATTAACACTGTTCGCACGGTTCACGCAACGTATTCATGCTACCATCATTGGTACTGTGACTGTAGATGCATTAACCGGGCTGCAGCCTCTGACTCTTAGCAGTCTTTTTAGGATGAGGTACACAGTTTTTTGTCTGGGTTGAGAGTGGGAGAGCGGAACCAGGGCTCTGTCCCTACAAACGGAAGGCGCCACGCAAGCACGTTACGTCGGACAGGTCAGCTTGCAACTGACAAAACTACTCCGAGCTCACAACTAGAGCAACCACCGTTCAAGACTTTCGGGTGTAGGATTTTTCGTGCCCCAAGCTCAACTGAAGATTTCTCTCGACGGCCAAGAGTCAGTAACAGGCCGACCGACAAGTTCCGCTTCGGATGGTCCCTGTGCCCCAGGACGCCTTGAGCCAGGATCAGGAAAGCCAGCCACCTCGATTCAGAGCTCAGGGATTCAGGTCTTGGGAGTCTATCAGCTCGGGGAGTCGGGTTGAGCTTTCAGGTTACAGGGCACGCGGCTGAGGGGCTGAAGGTACCCGGAACAGTATGGACCGGACCCGCTTGGCCAGCCAAAGTCCAAGGTTGGATGCTTTGGCCATGTTTCATGTTCTGCTGCTTTGTGGATTCATTCTGAATGGCCATGAGGCGCGTGACTGACTAAGAAACAACTTGCAGCGGCACCAGCAATCCCATCTCAAACGGTCCCCATACAAGGTGCACCCCCCCCCCAAA